TGTATTATGAAATTCTTTATCGAAGGGTTCGTGAACGATCGGCACCAGATATTCAGACAAGAGGAGAAAATGACACACACAGACTGTAACTTGCTAGAATAATATTTGTCATTTATTAATCTGCCACAAGAAGATCAGCCAGGCAAAAAAAAGTCATGTACCCTTGTACACTCTTAACACACAAATTGATATGAGTATCTCTCACCGTGACAAAATGATCGGGAAGCCTTTCGATCCAATGAGGAGAACTCAATCAGGTGCTCTGGCACCGCGCGCTGGTCCAGAGCGAGACTTCTAACTCTCTGTGTCTGATACATTTCTTATAAAGGCTCCCCTGATCGCGTGAGAGCAGATCAAAGCAAGTTTTGATGATTGCCAGGAGAACAGATTTAATTAAATCTGTTTTTCCTTCATCAAAGTAGTCTGTGCAACAGAGTGATGGTTTCATAAACATGTCCTTCAAAACCTGGGTCACTGTAACCTTAGGATTGGGCCCAACCCTCTGGCTAGAGCATCCCCCGGAGGACTTTAATTACTCCAAAACACATCTGCAGCACAGGAATGACTGAATAAGCAGATAAGCTGCATCAAAAGTGAGTATAAGCGTGTTTAAATAAGTATAATATAGGTCTAGATTGGCATAAAAGCATTAAAATAATAATTTCTATATCACGTTCCACCATAGAGAGCGTCCTCACTCCTGGACTCTGTGTGTGGTTCTCCAGCTGCACTGCAGCACACAAAACAGAACCACAGAGGTTTGTGAGGTCGGCAGAAAAAAAATCATTGGGTGCTCTCTACCCATCCTGGAGGACCTACACAGCTCTTGTTGTCTTCATAGAGCTCACAAAATTGTTATGGACGATTCCCACCCGGTCACCATCTCTTTGAGCTGTTACTGTCAGGCAGACGGTGCAGATCTATTAAAACAAGGACCAACCGGCTCACAAATAGCTTTTACCCGACGGCAGTTTAGGCACTAAATAACCTTTTAAAAACTCTGTTTTTATCCACATTTTAAATAGAACTTCGGACCGTATAATATTTTACTATTTTACTACTGATACAAGAGCAATGTGCAATTTTTTCTCCGGAGCTGTTGTGCGTTCTAACAGTATTTCTAACTGTGTTTACTGACATAAGGTCTGTTGGGTGTAACTGTTTTCTTTTATTATGTCTCTTATAATTTTTATTTTTTTATTTAGATTCATTAAATTCTTGTTTTGTCTGTAGCACCGCAAAGTGGGGCGTCTTCATTTCATTATACCTGGTTTAGTAACAATAAAGATATTCTGAATCAGAATGCTTTATTTCCGGACAAGACGCACAAAAACCACACAATTCGTTCTTGATCATTACCGGAACGATGACTCACCTCGGGGGAAGTAGGGGAAGTGTGAAATAACCTAAAACCACATTTCTTGAATGACAGAAGACTGGGCAGGTGTAAATAAACAGTGCTGGATGGAGGAGTAACTTGTCTGGGTCAAGTAGAACAAACTTTCAGAAGGTGAGATCTTATCTTTGAAATAATGACACATAACAAGACTGTTCAGTTCTGCTCTGGTTTTAAACCACAGCTGAAAACCTGCTGCTTTAACCGCTTAGTTTAGGCCCTTTTCTTTTTTACTATTATTATCTTTGCATTGTTTCTAATGTTATGATTGATTGTTTTTATCCGTTTTTGTGGTGGGCAGCCCAGTTTGTAAAGCTGCTGCCTCTCAGCGAGAAGATTGCAAAATCGAATACCAGCCAGGGACCTTTCTGCGTGGGTTTTCTCCGGATACTGTGGTTTCCTCCTGCAGATCAAAAACATGCATGTTGCTCTGATTGGTGACTCTGAATTGTCTCTAGGTGTGAGTGAGAGAGTGAATGGTTGTTTGTCTCTGTGATGGACTGGAGACCTGTCCAGGATGTACAGTGACTGCTGGACATGGGGACCAGGGACCCCCGTGACCCGAAAAGGAAGAAGTTGGTAAAGATAATGGATGGATGTTTTTGTAGCATTTTATTAAGTTTAAAGCACTTTGTAACGTCTAAGTTTGTCGTTTCACAATGTTTCTTGTATTTCATGGCCCACTCACCGGAGTGAATCATCACTTCTGTCCAGATGTCATTTATAGACTCGTGTTTTGTTTAACTATGTCTCATGTTGCTTTTAGGGCAATTCATTTTGACGCTGCTGAAACCGCTTTCTATTATCGAACCACAAATCCTCAGGAAGCTAACACTCAAAACACTCAACATGCACATGCAGAAAGCAACCTAATGCCCAAAAAAACTTCTCATGGTGATCTAACAAGGTTCAGTCAGGTCATCCATCTAGACGACCTGACTTAACCTTGTTAGATTTTTCTACCTGGATTATTGAGCATGCATCAGGACTTCTCATGGTGACTAGTAACTGGCAGTATCAACACATCCTCTATAATATCTGTATATAACAGAGCACGTTACTGAAACACTACATGTGACAAACTTTATAAATGATTGTAAAAGAACACAACTAAGTATTCCCATGGGTCATTGCTCCAACAGATGAACAGCCACACACAGTTTGTAATTCCCGCTTCCTACAAATTGCTACAATATTTATCTTAACACACAAGCTAGATTTGTGAAATACCACATTTATGTGGTGTGTACTAACATTTCACAGTGCCATGACTTCTTTATAATTCTGCATTTTTCTGTGACATGACTTGGAAGAAAAAAAAATCTAGTAATTAACAGTTAAATAAAAAAATATGTGAGCATTAAGAACAGATTTGTTTCTTTGGTTTTTTTTTTTTTAACAAACTTGAGTAATGACTAAGAGCATTTTGCTAACACAGACTGTTCTGTGGCGTTGGGGGAGGGGAAGTGTGTGATATTTATTATTAGCTCCGTGGCCTGAGGGCTAAACTGTCTTTTTTCATTCAACCTTTATTTATAG